CACACATGGCCCTCTAGGTCCAAAAGTCCTTTCAAAGGACCGTACTTGATTACCTAGAGGGCCATGTGTGGCCTCAAGGCTGCAGGTTCCCTATCCCTGATCTAGTTTAAGGGTTCTTAACTAGGGATCCATGGTTTTTTTGGTAATATGCTTTGATGACTATATTTTAATACAATCAGCTTCACTGTAATAAGTAATCCTATGTGTTTCATGAATTATTTTTTTTTTCCTGAGCAAGGGTGTGCAGACTTCCCAAACTTCCAAAGGGGTCTTTAATACATACACAAAATTCAGATCCCCTGATCTAGATGTTTCTTAAACCAAAGCAGATCACAGCCTGCCATCTCCCCTTCCCCCTAACCTCTCCTCAAATGATCGCTTGGTGGCCAACTTTCTGCTAATGAGCTTCTCTGTCCTTCATCTAAGCTAGCCCTTAGACATCAGACACTCATTGGTCACTGGACTTTTCCATCTTGGAAAACTGCAAGACCTTGTGCTCCTACAATGGCAAAGTTTTGGAAAACCTTAGGCCACCTCCATGCCAGGATGAGGCATCAGAGAGTGACTTAAGGAAATAGTTATTATTGTCACTACTGGAAATATTCTTCAGTCTGTGTAGAAGAATGAAATGCAGTGAATTAATGCCTGATCTCCTATTCTTTCCTTCCACACATTCCAGGCTAATTTCTAAAAGTGAGCAGGACCTTGGAGAGGTTCAGGACCGGGAGGCAGGGGTAGATTAAATAATATTTTGTTTGTTTTTAGCTCAGACTCTTACTATTGTCAGATGTTGTAGAATCATGCAATGTAAGAGTTCACAGGGAGCTCAGAACATAGACTGTCTAGAAGTATAACATAGAGGGCAGCTAGGTGGTGCAGCAGATAGAGCACCGGCCCTGAAGTCAGGAGGACCTGAGTTCAAATTCGGCCTCAAACCAAACACTTGTCACGTACTAGCTGTGTGACCTTGGGTAAGTCACTTAACCCCGATTGCCTCACTTAAAAAAAAAAAAGACAAAGAAGTATAACATAGAATGTCAGAGCTGGAAAAAGCTGGGAGAAGTTGTAGCATCAGAGGATTTAAGGCAGGACCACAGAGATCACCATATGGTGAGAGCTCTCTACATTAAGTCAGCCCCAGCCTCCAGATCACACCATCTTCCTGTCATGACACCATGTATTCTCCTCTCCACTCTACTACCACCAGCAGTTTCTACCTCCTGTTCTGGGAACAGCACTAATTAACCCAGTGCTTCTGGAAAGGTCACATCCTTCAATCACCCTATAACTCCCTTGCTGTCTCTTCTGTAATCACCTTTTCCTGGTCACTACCCCCCTAGTGCTGGGTAACTATTCAGTGTTTAATAAATGCTTTTTTGTTCCCTCATTCATTTATTCTTTCAACAACAGGAAAATTATTAAATTTTTACTGTGTACAAGGCATAATGCTATAGGCTAGAGACACAAAGAAAAAGCTCAGGGAGCTCATATTAATAGGATCATAGGTTTAGAGCTGAAAGATATCTTGGAGGTCATCTAGCCCAACCCACTTATTTTCCAGATGAAGAAACTGAGGCCCAGAGAGATCAGGTGACTTGTTCAAGGTCACAGAAGTGGTAAATGGCAAAGGCAGGATTTGAACCCCAAACTACAGGAAACTGAATCCCAGGAAAGTAAAGTGACTTGCCCTAAGTCTGTTAGTAACAGATGAGCATCATTGAGTCTGGAACCCAGGTGTCTGACTCCCTCTGAACTCAGAGAAAGGGTGAAGATGGTCTACTCTGCCCTGGGGTCTCTCTAAAGGGAGAAGAAGCTGACTGGATACATTAGAAATTTTCAAAAAATTCCAGTTAGTGGGAAAAATAACCAATTCCACCCAAAATCCAATGTAGGGAAAGAGAAAAAAAATCTCTTTTCTAAATATGACATATGTATAGGAGAAAATGCATTTTTAGAAAGACACTTTCTCCATGGGCATTTTTCCCTGGTCTGGTCTTTGCAGGACAACTGGAAATTCTTGGGTTTTAGCTGAGAACAAACAGAAGGTGACCTCTTCAGCCCATAGACACTGGGAGTAGAGTCTTCTAAATTGCTTTATTATGGCTACCAGACAAATTCTATCAGCAAAGCTATTTCTTTTTCAGCTGTCACTGTTGATTGAACACCCAGCAAGCAGGGAATATTTTTTCCAACCCTGAGAAAGGCCACATACCATCCTCCTCTGTCTGCACCACGAGCTCCTCACTTTCCATCTTCCCCTCTGGGTTGGAGAGCACAAGCCTCAGCTGGATGGTCATGAATGGGCGGAGGCCCCGCAGGGTGTAGTGGGACGATGTCTGGATGACTTCCTCAGCTTCATACTGCTGTTGATTGAATACATACTGGTACTGGACAGTGAGGTTGTAGCTGTGGCAACGGGTCACTGTGTACCCGAAGGGTTCCCACTGGAGGGTCAGCTGTCTGGAGCGGATGTCCACAATCTCCACATTCTGGGGACCATGCACAGGATCTGTGGAAATATACAAGAGGAGGAGAGCTATTGATAAAAGGCAAAAGGGAATCTGTTCAAGACAGAGGAAATATACAATGCTATAATAAATATATAGTACATCACTACAAATAACCTTGGATGTAGTTGGTAGGTGATATGAACATTGACTTGGGGTCAGGAGACCTGGGTTCAAATCTTACCTCTGACATATGCTAGCTGTATAGTCCTGAGCAGTCATTTAACCCCTCTGGACCTTGGTTTCCTTTTTGTAACTGGACTTAATGCCTCCTAAAGTCTTTTCTGGCTCTGATTCTATGATCTTATGACACATGCTAGCTATTTGACCATTGGAAAGACCCAATCTCTCTAAGTCTCAGTTTTTTTAATTTGTAAAATGGGGATAATGGTATTTACACAGAGTTTCTGTGAATCAAGCGATTTGTAAACCTTTAAGTACTACATAAATGTTAGATACTTCTTGTTGTTTTTATCATTATTATTATTACTGCAATTAAAGGTTATACTAGGAGCCAGGAAACCTGGGTTATAGTTCTTGTTTTGTCATTGACTGTAAGGATAGGAATTATTACTCCCATTTTATAGTTGATAAGACTGAATCCCAGAGAGTAAAAGTGTCTCTTCCTCCTCCAACCTTCCCCCTGTGCCCCATTTACCTTCCCCAATTATATAGCTGGTAATGGCCAGAGTGGGACCCCACACCTCAGATACTTTGACTTCAAATTCAGGGCCTTTTCCATTATGCCATATTGCTTCTCCCATTATGCCATATTGCCTCTCCCATTATGCCATATTGCCTGTCCAAGACAAACAGTGAAATCAGAATTCTGGCAACAACTGTTAAGGGTCTCAGCATAATAACAAATTCAGAGAAACACTAGCCCTGGGACCTGTTGGGAGAGTAAAGTACTGCTCTGAGGATTAGAATTTCAATTTCATTCTAAATCTTTTATTTAATCAAAATAATAATAAAGTATTGTCACCATTTTACATATGAAGAAATTAAGGCATAGAGAGTTGAAATGACTAGCTCAAATGTTAATGTGAGGATCTGAACCCAGGTCTCCTGGAACAAGTCCAGCTGTTTCTACTCTATTAGCTTTCATGCTCAGTCATTTAAATAGAGGCAAACCAAGTGATTTTACATTTCAGATTCACAAATGTATTCATTCATTCCTTTATTTATTCATCCATTCACCTAACTTTATTATTCATTCATTAAGTACTTTGTACAGAAGTATGAAAGAGATGGTGTATAGACAACCACAGTAAGGGGTTAAGAGAGGGGCAACTCAAGTATTACATTCATGTAATCTTGGAAAAATCAATTCCCATCCTGTAGACTTAGTTTCCTTCCATGTAAAAGAAGGGAGAGAGGCTGAATCAGATCTCTAAAGTCTCTTTAGTTTTAGATCCCATGTTGAGCTATGAACATAAGCTAAAATATGTACACACATACATATACACAACCAGGTATGCTATCAGAGAAATCATGGCATAATGGATAGATAGAGCACTAGATCTGTAGTCAGGAAGATGGGTTCAAATCTTGTCTCAGACACTAGCTGGGAAAGTCACTACACATCTCTATGCCTCACTTTCCTCATCTGTAAAATAAGGTGGATGGACTCATTGGTCTTCTAAGGTATTTTTCATCTCTAAATGTAAGATCCTATCATAATGAGGAAAATTCATCACTGGTAAACATGGCTGACTCTTGCTCAAATTGTAAAGTCAGTTTAGGTGATTGCTGTATTTCCTTCCTCTTTCTCCAATCTTCTTTTTTTTTTAAACTCTACTTCCCAGTATCTTTACCTTTTCCAAATACAGCCCCATCTAGAACTCTGGGAAGCACAAAAACACATCTGGGAAGCCACTCCTACCACTAAACCTCAAAGTCCTTTCCCTAAAGGGTTTCTGCTTTAACAGGAGCAGCAGTGAAAACAAAAGCCCATCTTTCTTTATCAGTACCATTTTACTAGTCTTGCTATAAGGCAATGAAAAATGGAAAACTACAATTTCCAAAGAATCAAATAGGAATATCATGCAGTAGAGTGGAGCATGGTTGGTATGAAGAGGTTATGACACTGAACCAATGAGGAACTCTGAGGAATGACAGGAGTAAAAGATCTCATGAAGGAACTGTATAAGAAGAGAAGATGGATTAGTTGCATGCTTAGGGCAAGGGATGGCAGGCAAACTGGCCAAGTGCTCTACTGGTAGCCTCAAGACATCCAGGGAAGCAAGTGAGGTCTCTATTATACAAGTGGAGCTTAGGGGGAGGAGGGACACAAATAAGAGATGCACAGGATGGGGAAGGCATGTATAGGCTGCAGTCAGCATCACTGGGGAGAATTCCTGAAACAGTGATATCATCAATGTATTTGTATACTTTTGAGAGTGACAGCAGAGGAATGAAAGCTGGATGATGGTCCTTAGGCTTCAGAAGGTGCTGCACAAGTTTCATTTTTCAGACCCATTCCCACAACATTAGTTGATCAATCACATTGCAGCTAGGGTGTGAGCTCACAACTTTGGAGCTCTTAAGGTAATACCCCCTTTGGGGTTATTTACATTTTAGTAGCATTTTTTTAATCTCAAAGACAAAAAAGCCTTTGGTACCCATAGGAATACATTTCTTATGGTTCAATTTCAGGCATGATTACAACAATCATCTTTTAAAATGATCTAGGGGACTTTTTCGTGAAAAGGGAATCTCTTGGTGAATTCCTGTGAATCAGATAATTATCTCCCCCAATACGATTTACAAAATGAGTTTTCATAAAATGGGTTCACTGAAGTCCCACAAATGCCATGCTCTTTGGTCTCATCATAGCGTAGAGGCGACTGCAAGTTTTCAAAGACTATACTGAAGGGTCAGTAGGCCCTGCCATGTGGGAAAGACTTTGAATATTGGCCCATTGACTAACAGACTGTGTATCTGTCATTAGAGGATCTGCCTAGCTGTACTCACAGAAGTTCATCACCAGAAGGTTGGCCACCAGGTGATGAGATTTTTGGCTATAGCAACTCATTAAACTGTTTACTAAGTCCTAGAGGGGTGGCCATCTGCAAGAGTGCTGGAAGTAGCCAAAGCAATGAAATCACAGATATTTTGAAGCATTGCTTTATAAAATGATTTTGATAAATTTGGTTGGTCAATAATGAGCTGTATCATTATAGACTAACTATCAAATTTATCCAAACTCTCTGGCAGTCATTGCTGCCCCTGGCCTGAGTCAAAAGCTCAGTAAACACCAAAACAACTTAACAAGCTATATTCAAACAACCATGGAAAAAATTGAAAATGGATGTGGCAAAGTCATAAAGAATGGGCTTGGCCCTAAATAAAAGATATGATAAAACACCTCTCCTGAGATTTTTGCAGAAGTTGGGGTGGGTAGGGGAGGTCCCACTGGTATAGAACATTGAATATTATGTAAGATTTTTTACAATGTGTGGATTGGTTGTACTGAATTATGACTCACTAGGAGGGGAGGATGAAAGGAATACAAGGGGAAATTTGAGTGATGGAAAAACAAAAAAACATCATTTATAGGTATCTAATTTATAAAACTATGTTCAGTAGATTACTGGTATTATTACTAAAAAAAAAACAGACTGAAAGCATCCCAGTTGAATGGGCTTATAGAATAACAATATAGTTTTCAAAATATAAAAAACTGAATTTTCTGGAAAATGTTGGTATTTTATAAAGGAAAATCATCAAAAATATAATTAGATGAGCTCTTTAGGATGGCACAGACCTTGCTGTCTGATATGACCTTGAGTTCATTATTTGTCCTAGACTCTATCTTTTTTAGGATCATAGAATATCACAATCAGAAAGGATCTCAGTGGCCATCTAGTTGAATTGTCACCCTCCAGCATGAATCTGTTCTACTACATTCCCAACAAATGGGTCGTCCAGCCTTTACTTGAGTCCTCCAGGGACAGGTGGGTCACCATGTCCCGAGGCAGTGCATTCTACATTTGAATCACAGTAATTGGTGGGCAGTTATTCCTCCTAGTGATCTTTATCCTTTGGTTTTGGTTCTGTCCTTTGGAACCACAAAGAACAAATGTAATCCATGGCCCCCATGATGTTCTTCAAATATTTGATGACACAGGTCATATATCCCTTAACCATCCACATGTGTCCCCCTTTGTAGACAAAACATTTTCAGCTTCATTAATCAAATTAATCTCCTAGAATAGGGTTTCATAGGATCATAGATTTATAGTTTAAAAAAGAACTTAGAGGTCTCATTTTACAGATGAGAAAACTGAGTCACAGAGAGGTTAAATGACTTACTTAAGGTGACACAGCTAGCAAATACCTGAAATAGAATTTGAACCTAGGTCATCTGACTTTTAAGTCCACCACCTTTCCCATTATACCACGGACCTTTTTGGTCATTCTCTGGTTGAGTTTGCTTAATAGTAAGGTCTTCACTCTTAGTTCTGTGCTCTTCTGCCTATAGTACAACAAACATTCAGATATTCCAGCAGTCAATCAACAAATATTACCAGGCACTGACTATATACCAGAGGATATAAAGAAAGGCAGAAACATGTTCCCTAATCTCAAATACCTTTTTTTTCTTTTTTTAATTCAATTTTATTTTATTTTCAGGTACATGTTCTCTCCATCCCACCAATGAGAAAGCAAAATACAAACCAACCAAAGAAACAAAAGCACTACAGATACGCATAGTAAAACAAAACAAATTTTCACATTGACAATGTTTAAAAACACGTATCTCAATCTGCACTCTGAGTTCATCACCCCTCCTTCATGAGATAGAAAGTATGTTTTATCATGAATCCTCTGGAATCATAGCTGGTCACTGTATATATCAGAGGAAGGAGCTTATATTCTTTATAGAGAAAATATGCACAGTGTAAATGGTATATAATTTTAGGGGGGAACACACTGGGGTGGGGATACTCAGAAAGGCCTCCCAGAGAAGGTGGGACTTTAGGTGAGTCAGAAAGAA